CTCTTTAAGATCTGACAAAAGTAAACTATGTCCCACATTGTCAAAGGCAGCAGTCAGGTCTAAAAGCACAAGCATAGCAGGAACAGTTCAAAGAATATCAAAAATTCCCAAACCTGACTGCAACATTTGACAAAGGTCATGGTTTTCTAGAAAAGTATGCAGCTGAATGAGAACAACTTTCACCAAAACGTTTGACAGGAAGGGTAGCTTGGAAATCAGAGCAGTGGTGTCTGGTCAATAAAGGGCACAGGGGCGCCACCCCACTACTAATTACCACATAAAAAGTAATTCTCAAACACAATATGAAATTTGAATTATTATAACAAAATAATAATAAAATGAATAATAACATTTATAGTCTTCTGCCATATTAACTATATTTTATTTTCAGATTTAAAATTCGTGTTTTTAATGTCCAGATTTTACACTTCCTGGATGCTCAGAGCCGGCCAAATGAGTGTGTATGTAGTTCGAAAAACTTTTCGTGAGCATGTGACCTTGGCCCGGGCTCAGATTGGCAGCTGCAGCAGCTCCGGACCCTCCTGCTTTTGAGAGATCTTTGCAACAAAGTATATGAGAAAGTTGTCACAGATTGTAGGTATATTATACTTAATATTTTATTATACTTATTAATCAATTGTTTTAGATATGCTTTTTGCACTGTAAGAGGACAGCCATCGAATTTCTTTGTACTTATGCAATGACAATGAAGGCATTTGCATTTGCCTTCAGGTGTTGCCACATTAACCTATGACTATAGCACGCTTCTAGACATAGTAAGGCTTGTTTCAAATGACTTTTCAAACTCTTTTTTGAAGATCAGAAGTACCCAGCTGAGATCCTTTGTGACACTGAGGAAAACAAGGACAATAGCGACACAGAAACAGATGGAGGAAAAGCCCTAAGGACTACTACGTAGTATTCAGAACAGGCTAAGAGCTCAGGGCTATCACACACCCCTGCCCAGTATCCTTCTTGCAAACATCCAGTTACTGGAAAACAAGTTGCATGATCTCAGGGGTCAGATGAGATGAGGGACTGAAACACCGTCTGCCAGAATGAAACAGGGCTCACTCCTCAGGTGCCGGACTAAGCCATCCGGCCATCAGAGTCTTTCTCCGTGTTCCATGTAGGTAAGATGGAGGAACCTTGCAAGACCAAAGGTGGTAGAGTTTGTTTTATGATCAGCAACAACTGCTGTAGCCCCCAAAACACCAAAGTTCTCCCCCACTCTTGCTCACCAGATTTGGAACATCTAACCATCTTGTGCTGTCTATTTACCCTACAAATTCACCTCAGTGATTTATACAGCAGTCTACAGACCATCACGAGCCTACACTGACACTGCACCATTGGAGTTATAAGACGTGCTACGCTGACAACAAAACAAACTTCCGGGTGCTGCCTTCATTGTGGCTGGGAATTTCAATAAGGCAAACCTTAGGAGGGATATGCCAGATTTGTATCAACGTGTAGTGGTTCACCAGATGGACCAGCATTTTGGACCACTGCGAAAGACCTTAAAGAGGTCTAAAAGTGGTTTCTCTGCCTTTACTTGGCAAATCGGACCATGCCACCATTTTCCTTGTGCCAAGATATAAGCAAAGAATGGCACAGGAGGAAGGGGTTACAATGAGGCAGGTAAGCTGCCGGTGTGACCGATCAGAAGTATGTTGCAGGACGTTCTGAGTGATGTCGACTGAGGATATGTTCCAGTCTAGCACTGGGGATGTTGAATGAGTTTACAGAAGTGGTGAAAGGCTTCAAAGCCAAGCAGGTGAATGATATAGTTCCCATGGTGATGGTTTGTATTCTTCTGGTCCAGAAACCCTGGGTCAATAAATCTATTCGCACCAATCTGACTGCACACTCTGCTGCTTACAACTTCAGCCTCATCAGATATGGAGAAAGACAAAGTGTCATCATACAAGCTGAGATGAACAGCAAAGGATGCTAAGCATAGGTACAGGGACAACATGGATGTACAGTTTCAACAAGTGACTCATAAAGCTTGTGAACTACAGGAGGAGAGCCCACATTTTGGTGAGTGCCAACACTGCATGGTTGAAAATGAATGCTAACGCAGATTCAAGTACTTGAATTATCATGTTCATACTGTTTCAGAGCACAAAGTGAGGAGGACACTGAGGAGAGTGAAAATCAGAAGAACAGCCAGTCCAAGTGGTATTCCTGGAAGAGTCCTGCACCGACCTGCTAGCTTCAGTGCACACAACTCTGCTCAACCTCTCCTTGAATCAGTGTGTGGTCCCTACATGGATTTCCTGTCCTCTAGAACCTTAGTGGTCCAGGTGGGCAAACACATCTCCAGTCCTGCACCTTGAACACCAAAGCCCCTCAGTGGTGTGTCCTCAGCCCTCTGCTCTTCTCTCTATACATGCATGACTGTGTGGCTACGAACAACTCCAACAACATTGTGAAATTTGCAGATAACATGGTGGTGGTGAGCTGTATCAGTAACAATGACTAACGGATGTACACAGAGGAGGTTCAGACTAATAACCTATTGCTGGACATCAGCAAAACCAAGGAGCTGTGGACATTTGGAGAAGCCAGCAGAGTTGTTACATGCCACTGAGTGTAAACGGATCATTTGTAGAGATGGTGTTCAGCTTTAAGTACCTGGAAGTGTACATCTCTGAGGATCTGTCGTGGATCAAACACACTGACAACCAGATGAAGAATCTGAGGCAATGTCTTTATCATTTCAGATAGTTTAAGAAATTCAGGTCAAAATTTAAATCTAGCTCCTCATCTGTCAGCTACAGAACAGTGGATCATATGAATATGTAAATAACATATACAGTTGGGAACATAAGTTTACCTATATTTGTAAGGACCGTCTTTATTATGGCAGTCAGTTTCCTGTGACTCCAACTCCCTTTAATATTCTATGATGGAATGATTGAAACACATGAATCACAAAAAAACAATCATCCATCTATGAAAGAACAATAGTTCCTTCATGTGATTTATTATAGATCTTCTGCTGTGTACAAAACATGTATAGAGCAATTTTAATATTTGGTTAGATTTCCTTTGGTCATTTCCACCTCAATTGGGGGCTTTTGTTAGCCATCCACAAACTTCTGACAAGCTTCTGGTTGCGTCTTTGACCTCTTGATAGAATTGGTACAAACTTAAATTAAATTAAACTTAAACTAAATCTACTGGCTTCCTGACACAGACTTGTTTCTTGATCACAGTCCACATATTGTTGATGGGGTTTTGTCAGAATTTTGGGGTCACAATCTTGTTGGAACACTCAAGACTCAACCTTTTGACTGAGGATTTTAGACTTTCCTGAATAATGTGGAGGGAGTCCTCTTTTTTTTGTTATGCTATTTACTTTGTGTAAAACACCAGTTTCCCTGGCACCAAACAGCACCAGAGCATAATGCCCCCACCACCACCATGCATGATGGTAGGTTTGGTGTCCTGGAGGTTAAGGGCCTCACCTTACGTACCCCAAACATATTGCTGGCCATTGTGGCCAAATCGCTCAATTTTCATTTCTGCTGACCACAGAACTTTTGCGCAGAATGCCGTTTTATGTCCATGTGATCACCAGCAAACTTCAGTCGAGCTTTAAGATGCCACTTCTAGAGGAAGAGCTTCCTTCTTCTCACAGCTGCCTCTCAGCCCATGGCAATGTAAAACACACTTGAATGTGGACACTGATAGTTGTGCTCCAGCAGCTTCTAACTCATTGCAGACCTGCTTTTTGTGGACTCTTGGTTGACTGTTGGCCATCCTGACTTGTGTTCTCTGTGTTTTCGTCCTGATCGTGGCACTGACACAACTGTGCCATGCAATTTATACTTACAAACAATAGTTTGCACAGTTGATTTTGGGATCTAAAGCATATTTAAATGGCCAAAAGTGACTTTCCTGACATGTTCAAATCAAATATTGGCTTCTTCAGATCTCTACTCAGTTCCTTAGACTTTCCAATTTGTTGTGTTTGTGGCTGAGTCAAATGAGTGGATCAAATGGGTCCTTTTTAAATTGGCTCAGAGAAGTCAATCGGAATCACTCACAAGAAGGTAAGAGGCCGTGCTACTAGGAGAATTTGTTTAACACAACTTTACATGACTTTACAAGTGTATGTAAACTTTTCTTCACGACTGTAGCTGTATGCACCAGGGGTATGAGTTCAGGTATATGCCTATTCATTGACTCAGTCGTCAACCAAAATGTATTTGAATTGAAAAACTTGTCAAATATTGCTGTTTGATAAAGAATGTGATGACTGAATCACAAAGCCTCTAATTAATTAGATCCATTTTTTAATCACATCCCACCATATATATATATATATGTACCTACAGATCTAGACAGAGAGAATCAAGAGAATCTCTCCCTCATGTGTTAATTTTTGCAGTCCCTAAGATGTCTGAAAGCCACTTTTAGTAATGTTGTTTTTTTAATTAATTAATTTTACTTTAGATTTTTCTTGTCTCTTTTTTTAAAATGTTATATATATATATACACACATATATATTAAAGGCTAAACTACTTTAAAAGGAGCCTTTTATGTGTGTGTGTGTGTGTGTGTGTGTGTGTTTGTATGTGTGTGTGTGTGTATTTTAAAGGCTAAACTACTAATTAAATAAGTGGTCAATAGTGACAAATAATATTGGACTACATCTCCTTGACCAAACACATACAAACTGTACTGTGTGTGTTGACCTTACAGTTAGCAGATGTTGCATTCGATATGGGACTGTGAAGGAATAGACAGTCATCAACATCTGGACAGTTTCTGTATAAATATGGGACTGACAGATGATCGTCTCTCTCCCTCGCTCGACACGGTGCTTGTTGTGGTTTCTCTCCATCTCTCGTTTTCTGTCTCCATGTCTCTGTCTGTCTCCGCCGTCACCACCTGGAAATCAGTCTCTCTCCCTTTAAGAGGGAGGTGAACTGCAGGGCGCCAGGGACGGTGAGAGTTGTAAACCCACACGAGTAGATAGAAAGTCACCGGGAGTGAGTGAGAGAGTGAGCGTATGCTCTCCGTCTCCAAAACATTTACGCACCGCTGCAGTATCCCTCTCCCCCTCCCCGTGTCCTACCCCACATTACCACCATCAACAACAACAACCGGCTTTCTCCACTCTGAAGGACCGGGAGCATAAGTCCGGAAACGCAGCGAGGAGGTTCTGTCCCAAAACACTGTGCTGCGCACGTAAAGCGTGAGAGAAGGAGGAGGACGGAAGTTTTTTTCTCTGGTGGAGAGCGCGGGGCGCACCGTACTGGTGAGTGGAGACTTGATAATCACTCTTCAAATATATTTGAAGCCTTGCTGCTGTAATCGGACAGTTGTAAATTGTGCACATCTACTCAAATTTGAAGTCAATGTTACGCAACATTCGCTTTGAAAACTTTTGAATTTCAGGTATGGTGTTACCGACAGTCAGTAAAATTCCACCTCATCAGAGATCTTCCAGCTTCTAAAAATGTTGTTTTAATCGGACTTGGGTCAAGGTGTCTCCCGTGCCCTCATCCAGTAATTTCATTTCCCTTTTCACCTCTTCATCTGTATTTTTTCCTCTGAATTTGTGAGAGAAGGTGTGAATGCTGCCGTTCTCTGCTCTGCCACAGTTATCTAGTGATGGGAAAACGATGATGGTGACTGTGATGATGTCAGTTCTGTTGATAGATGCAAATGAGCAGATGCCAGCAGGTTCACTAAGAATAGGTGCAGGCACCAACATTTTAGCAAAGGCTTCAACACCCTTTGTTTTTTTTTTCTTTCCCTGTTTGCTGATGTGCTGAAGTTTGCCAGTGAATACTGTAAAGATGATCAAGTTTCAAAATGATGCATCGCTCCAGAGGGTCCAGGGCTCCCTAATATGTGGAAAGAGTCTGAAATATGCAAAGTGTCAAACAGTATGTAGTTTTGGGAGCAATGCAGAGGTGAACTTGGAATCACTGAGTATGCGACGGCGGGCCTTATACTGAGTCCTGAAGTTGTACGATGGTGTGGAAGGAGCATGTGCGTTCATCTTTACCGTGGCTGGCTGCCTACAAAGCTGTCCATCAGCGGGGAGTCCCTGACTTTTGTTCCTCTTGGTTTCCTGTTTTATGTCTTTTGCTCTTTAGTCCCATCGTCACACTCCCAGCTGCTACCACCGCTCTTTTCTTTTTCTTTTCTTTTTCTTTTCTTTATTCTCTTGGTTAGTTTCAGGGACAGCAATGCAGCATCTCCAAATCCTTCAGCTTGCACACACACCCATGACGCTCTTCAATCTCTCTACCATATAGGGACAACAGGACGGAGCAGCGCAGATGTATGACTGCTGACACCACACTGTACTGTGCACTACGTAGCTCTCCCCTCTGTCACACACACATGCACAGAAAATAATCTCAAGGAGTGGTCTGGCATTTCACCCTTAACCCCTGCCGTCTTGTTTGGAGTTTGGTTTTCCCAGGTGAATGGGTTCATGTAGGGAGAAAGGTGAACCATATGCTCACTCCTCTGTCTCCGTCAGTTGGCCTGAGTGCTTTCACAAGTGACTGCAATAGGAGACCCTCGTTTCTGGCTGGCCAGAAAGTGCCCTTTAAATTAATATACTGACACATCTAAAACTAGCTAAGAATTAATATTGTGAATTAGAATGAAGTCGTTCTGTAACATTACAAAAAAAAATATTTTTATTTTTTATTTCAACACTGGAACACTGTTGGAGTTTATTATAGAGATCATACCGCTGGCTGCTTTAGATAAAAAGGGGAAAGTGTGCAATGATGCATAATTTGTGCTAATTCAGGGCTCTGTAACGTGAGTTTGTTGCTTTTCTTGGTCTTACATACCTGGAGATGTAATAGTTGTTGTTTCTAGACTGTTGTCAGGACTAAAAAAAACACCTGTGGATGTCATTTTGGACTCCAGGATGTTGTGTTGGGTGTTTTACAGACCAAGTGATAAATCAGTTATTTATGGAAAATAATCACAGATTAACCACAAATGAATGAAGCTAATTTCAACTCATATTTGGGTTACTTTAATATAGCCATACTTTGAGCCACACCTAAGCCTGCAATTGGTCTTTATGCTTAATATTTAGGAAACTTTAAAAACCCAGAAGTTAAAAATATTGCTTTGTTATGCTGCTTCGTAGGTATTTCTAAAATCTTCAAAGACTTTTCCAACAATCTGTATGAAAAAAGATTTTTTGCAAGTTGTGGCTGTTTTCTAAAACAAACATGTCAACCAGCGAGGACGCATCTTCTTTCTGATGACTTGCCCGTAAAATAAAAAATAAAAAAAACATCTGTCCATGAATTTTTACGTAACTAAGTATTGATAATTCTTTCACTATTTAGGGTTTGATTTTGATGGACAGACATGGAAGTGAAAGCAGTGCTCTGTTTCAGTGTGAAAGTAATTTAAAGAGTTTCAAAGAGTGTCCCTAAAAATATAAAAGAATAATTGGGAATAATAATCGTGGTATTTATTAAAACAATGGGGACTATTATTTTGGCCATATAGTCATGCAGTGCTACCTTTTATTTTACCAGTGCACTGTACAATGTGTGATTTATGTGTATCTTGGTCACAGTATGATAAAAAATGAAGTTACTGTTATCAAAATAGTTTTTTGTTCTTTGTGTCTATGGTTTTTAAATGTCGTCATGCACCATGTTTGATGACAATAAAGCATTCTATTCTATATCAATTAAACTCAAACGTCCTCCATCAGTTAGGCTATAAGGGTAACACTGGAAGGCATAACAAGGACTGTAACAAACTAATCCAATGCAGATCCTAGGCCACCATATCATAATCCCTATAATGCACTCCACAGAATTTCAATATTGTAAACAAGACTACATCGTTTTTTAAGTATCCGTGCGTCTAGTCATTCATTATTTCTAACATTTTTTTTTCTATTCGCACTACACTTGGATTTGTTGCTTTGCAGTCTTAATAGCCTGTTTACGTGTGTGTGGAAGTAACAATGTGTGTGTGTATCATTTCTTATACATCTGATGTCTTCATAAAGGCAGCAGAGTAGACAAAGGTTTTTCCCCTCTCTCCTCCTGACCTCCTATATCCTCTGGGCATTGTTCTCGGAATCCTATTGAACCAGGAGTCTACAGAGAAACACCACAATGGAGAATAATGGTGTGTCTGTATGTGTGTATGAATAGGTGTGTGTGTGTGTGTGTGTATTCCTCAGACTGTCCTTTAGAACAGTGTGAGGCCCAGCCAATCACACTGAACAATGTTGGGTTCGGAAAAAGACTTGTGTTCTTGTGAGAAAACCTGCCCGCTGCATTGTCTTCATCGGAAGAATTACGAGAAGTGAAAACGTTAAAACATTCAGTTGGCTGTCTGAAAGATAAACACGATGGCAGGCGACAGTTTTATCCACATGTCATATCTGATGGTCGTGTTAAGACACCTGACTTACAGCCAGGTTTGTGAAACTTCAGACTGGTCAGCATCTACACTTTGAATCATCTATATTGTGCAATTTATTCTTTTTCAGTGCTTATGTAACAGCTACTAAACAATATGCAGTGACTGAATCCTATCATGATAACATGATCATGTTACGCTGTCGTGTTAGTCACTGTTCTTTCTCCTCTAATTTGAGGATTTGGTCCAGTTTTGGGCTGTTAGATGGCCAAAACATCACCTTTAAAGACATCTAATTGAATTCTGAGGCATTAGGTTGGACAGTTTTCAATTTTACATAAAAAAAAAAATGTTCATCTATCAATTATCTATACGTTATTAATCCTCTGTAGGATGGCAGAGGGGCTGGAGCCTGTCCCAGCTGACTTAGGGACAGGTCACCAGTCTATCACAGGGCTACACTTAGAGACAGACAACCAAGCACACTCACATTCACACTTACAGACAATTTAGAATCACCAATTAACCTCAACATGTTTTTGGACTGTGTGGGAGGAAGCTCGAGAACCCGGAGAGAACCCACGCTGCACAGAGAGAACATGCAAACTCCATGCAGAAAGACACCAGGCCAGGATTTGAACCAAGGCTCTTCTAGCTGTAAGGCGACGGTGCTAACCACTGCACACCGGGCCACCCCACAAAAAAGAAAAAAACAAATGTACTACATTGTGAAAATTAGAATCACTACCTCCACTTGCCTCCACCTACCTGTTAAGGGAAACTTTATGTCTTTTAAGTGCCAAAGTGCCCCTTGTATTCGTTTCTTTCAAGAAGTCAGGGCAAGAACTGTCAGTAATTCCAGTCAGAGATGTTAAATGTTCCAGGAGAAGCTGTTACAGTTGACGTGTTTGTAGGAAAGTTAAAGGTTCTGTGGTTGCTCCTGCCTCATTTTAGCATCTCTCATCATTTTTCACGAGACTTTTTCAAGACCCTGTCCAACCGTTGCCTTGCCAGAGAGAGAAAAACATAGGAAACACACAGAAAGAGACACACAGTAGCTCGTGCACATGCAGAGACAACAGCAGCTGCACACACACACACAAAGCTGTTGGCATCTACACACATCTTTAAGGTAAGATTCCTGCTTTACTGTCTTCTTAACTGAGTTGTGTCCCTGATCACAAGGTTAAACATCTTGTAGTATCTTGCTTTTCATGTTTTTTTGTATTTGAGGCAGATGCAGTGTGAAAGCATCTGATAATGTGTGTGTGTGTGTGTGTGTGTGTGTGTGTGTGGACACGCAGTAAAGTAGTACTCATTTATTTAGGTGTCTTTTCTGTGAAAGCGTAAGATTAAACAGGGGTTTTAAATAAATAGATGAGCTCATTGTGTCCTGTGCACGCTGTTCATTTACATACCGCCAGCTGTGCTCTGAATGTGCATTCACTCGTCCGTAAATGCTGTCATAAGCTCATAATAATACGCTAATAGTGCAGGAGTAAAACCTGTGCTTTCAGCCACAGTCGGCTACTTTTCAACAACTGTAATTCAGTTTTTAAAGCCAAAGAATGGAGGGATTCTTGAGCTCTGTGCTGCATTTCTCATGCTACTTGTGAACAGTTTTTAACCTGTAACAAAAGGTTTTCAACTTCTCCTGTGTGTGTACATGCCTGTGTTGAATGCACGTGTGTTCATTCGGCAAACAATGTCAAAATACAAGCTCCTACAAGACTAAGGTGTGTTTCACTAAATGTAGAGCTGAGAGGGAAGTACGTGTGAGGTTTAAGCACCACAGCTACAGTTTGCCGGGTCTCTCACGGTTCCAGTAATGCTAGTCACATAGGCGCCTCATATTGTTTGGCATACAGGACATGAATGAGCAGGTTT